AAAAAAAAAAAACTGTGCGCCCGTAGTCTCTAGGGACTAGGAGTATGGAAATATTATTTTTTTGTTTCATTAGTCATCATTTAACAATGTATAAAATATTAAAAACAAAAATGTCCAACACCATTACAAATAGAAATATTTTGTTTCATGGATTCCACTCTTCCGTTTGTTGGAGCAAATTAACCTTTAATAGACATTCCAAAGCACCTAATTTACCGAGTTTTGATATAACCATTTGAAATCATATTTGAATTTATTGTTTAGTCTAGGTATATTGAATCTTAATATAAATTCTTTTAATCAAATATATTAGATTTTTTTCACTCTTATAGGAAATTGTACCGGCTTGTGTTGACTTCGGAAGCGTGTATAGAAATAATTTTCTGGTTGGGCTATATAAATATATAATGTATAGCAACAAAATATGATCTAGCACCTAGAGGCTATTAATGCTATTATATATTTAACAGTTATGACTGTAATTTCGGGGAGGGGAGCTGCAGCTCACTAAGTTTCCCCCCTTATATACGCAACAGGTTTACTTCGTTTTATGAACACAAATTTTACGTTAAAAGAATCCATTTTATTCTGTTATTTATTGTATTTTCTTTCTAACAATAAGGCAATACGTCTAACGGTCTATAACAGTACGTCATCGATTTGTCGATGATAAATGGATTTGCCGAATATTGCTCCGTCGAAAGCAGTTGAAATATGAATAACGATGGAATAATATTTAGATTTACCTATGTATAGATGCATAATGCCGCATTTAGACATTTTGCGCCTCGGTGAAAAAATAAATTGGCGTCCTCGTAAGGGGTTTACCCACGGGAGATATAAAAGAGATAGATAGATCGACGCATGAAACTTTTAGAAAATAAAATAATAATAATTGTTCTACAGTAATAATGTTTGTGTTTAAAAAAAAATTGTTTAATGATTTCACGATTCCCCCACCTAATATGCATAGATATACAATTGAATGTATGTCACTTGAGCTGCAGTTGAGCCCCGCTTTTAATTCATTATAGGAGTTGTTTTTTTTTTTTTTTACAAAACTAGGTACTTATTCATATTATCTTCATGGAACATATTAATATAAAAATAAAAATAAATTCAATAAAACTATTCAAACTAATATTATTATTTTTTTAAATATAGGTAGGTACGTATATTTTCGTATAATTATTTGTTTTTTGTGTATTAAGAAAGTTTGTTTATGATTTTGATATCCATTTAATCTTTTTTGTCGGTCATTAAAATAAAATAAACTTACATAATTATTAATAAATTATCAACAGCGCCGAGTAGTGAAAGAATTAATAATACCAAGAGGACGCATCATAATCACGCATGCAATACCCGCATATTGTGTTGTCTATTCTGTCTAACCATAGGCGTGCGCACGGGGTATGCAGGGTATGCCACTGCATAGTCTGTTTGGAGCTTCATTTGAAGGGCGCATGTTTATCATAACAAAGCATTTTTGATAATATCTGATAAAGTATTTAAAAAAATGTTTTTTAGTTTTAAATTTTCTCGTGACCAACAAGTTAATC